GAAAACGACGATACAGCAGCACGTCATAAGTGCAAATAATAAAATGTTTTATTTTGAAAATAAATAAACTGAGTAATATTACTCGTGAGTTCTGTATCTTGAAAACTATATTTTGTGTGCAAAGACAATTAATTCTACAAAGAAATTGATAAACTTGTTGAAAAGTAATAATAAGACATCAATGAAGACATACACAAATTTAACGATTTTGAACATTTTAAATTTCATCATCATTTAAAATCAGCAGCTGTCATTAAATATCGTTTTAAACAGAACTGTTTTAAAATAAAGTTCCTAAAAAACAGAATATTTTTGTAATTATGTGCTTTGTATGTTTTATAAATACTATGAAAACTAAAACAATTTAAAACATATAGAAACTTTTTGAATTATTGTGATGGTTTTGTAAATCTCATAAATGTGGATGCTGCTGCTTCTGCCGGAAACTTCTTCCTGTTAACAGGGAGTTCTTCCTCCCCACTGTTGCCAACGTGCTTGCTCATATTGTTTGGCTTTTTCTTCCTTATATTGTTGTAGGGTCTTAACCTCATATATTTTAGGCAACAAAAATGTATTTCATTCCAACCGCCTCTTCGGATTTCCTGCCCACTCCACCATGTCAGTCCTGGAAAAGAACAAACCTGGAAATGCCCCTGATGAGGCAGACTTTTAGCTTTTAAAGCATTTCATGCAGTTTGAAAGGAGGACGAGAAGATCACACGGGAACATCTGAACATTCATGTGATGATTCTCAAAATGCCTTCATCATAAAATGTCCATTTGAACCCTGAAAGCACACTGGGAAGCATCAGCACTGAGCAGCCGGGGTCCTATTATGGTGAGTCCTTCATGCTTGCCAAGAGCTGCACAGACTGTTAGGAAAGCGACAGAGGGCACTCAGAGACTCCTGAATTCAATCTGTGGGATCATTCTGCTACATGGAAGATACAAGTACAACTTAACCAGAGGGAAGCTTTAAAAACCTGATTTTGGGGCAAAGAGAGGAATTTTAACCATCTCTATCCTGATGACTCTATTGCTTTAGGAAAAGAGCCAAAAGCATTATTGATGCCTGAGATGTCCATCGGCAGTAGACTGCAGAAAAATGACATTTCAGGCTTTATTCTGAGTGTGATCGCCTCTTTCTGTTTCTCTGCTTTTTCCTGCACCTCTGGACCTTTGTGTTCCCCCCTCATCGTCTAAACTTTCCATTCTTGAGAGGAAGAGAAAAACAGCAATCGGTGTTCAGTCCTGGTAACAACAGTGTGGTGGCTGTGAGCGTGATGAGTCGATGTGAGGGGATTTGAAGAGGTCTAAAACCTCCTCTGTGTTGTTGTTGTCAGCCCTTCAGCTGCAGAGCTCAGAAAGTGCCGTCTGCAGCCAAACAACGAGCCCGAGCAGCCTGAGGACCTCACAAACCCACACGCTCACTCTGACGTCAAAAGGGCTGCTTCTTAACGAGCATCAGCGGATAAAGCCGCGATGAAAACGTCGACCAGTCGGCCCTGATTGTTCAGATCTGAGGTCCTCAAATAACACAGCTGTATAATTATCATTTTACATCCTCTCAGGATCTTCACCCAAGACCAACAGCGCCCCCAGCAGCTGATGCAACATCATTGCAGTGGAAAAAACACAGTTTTCACACGCAGGTCCACCTGAGGGGAGGCGCTCAAGTTTGAAACAAAGAGTTGTGCATTTATCTGGTTTTATTGAAGCTTCGACAGGTGTGGACCTGTCTGAGGATGAACTTCAGCTGGGCTGTACTTTCATGTAACATCATTCGTACCACAACCTGGTGCAGCGAGCCAGGGCAACCTTTATTTAACCAGGTTATTAAGAACACCCTTTTTCTGGGATCAAATCTGTTGAGGAAACTGAAGTAGAAGATGGAAAGATTGCAACAGTTTGCTGGTGACATGTCACCCCCTGGTGGCCAGAGTTGTAGTTACAGTTTGAGGGTAATTATGAGAAGTTTCTGGAGCGTTTTCAGTGATTTTAGCTGCCGGTGGAGCTTTTTCAGCACAATTACTTTTATTATTATTACGCAGTAAAAAAGAAAAAGCTGTTGTCTCATTAGTACCTGACAGCAGCTGGATCAGTGCCCAGTATAAGGGAGAGATATTTAGTACAGGAGTCGGGTTCAGATGTCGCTATTGGTCGAATCGATCCTACGAGCCGACTTTAGAGCCTCGCTGTTGTCCAGCACTTCCTGTCTGTAACGGTGGCTCTCAGCTGTAGCTTTGCAGTCGTAAATGAAACGATTCATCTGCTCCGTGCTTCACTAGCAGCTTTGCATGATATGCAGTTCAAAATAATCCCTTAGCTCACACTGAGCCTCTGCGCGGTCTTTGAGAAACTCCTGTGAAGGTGAAGATTTTCCCAAACCAGGAAATTTAGTCTTTCAACTCTGAAAGTAAACCTTCATCTCTGCGTTTGGACATCATGTGGGCCGCGTTCTTGTTTGTTTCTGACGGACTGATTGGTTGGGATGATATCGACACCCGCTGCTTTGGCGTGCTCTCGGCCGCACTTGAGAGAATATTGACGACTGAGATGTTTATCAACATGAACTTGGAAAAAAAAAATGCCTGCTATTAAAAAAAATACTCCTGTACATGGGAGATCTTTCAGTTCTGGCTGCTCCACCGTTCTCTGTGACATCACAAAGTTCCAGGAATAGAAAAGCCTGATAAAATGAGTGAGTGCAGCCTGACCCATCGGCTCACAGGGATGACTGTACATCCACTGAGCTCATTATTACAAACTTTGATCAAGTTAATATGAAGGAACGGGAGATTTATGACAGGAAACAAGAACAAAACGAGGAAAACAGGTCCACTTTTAATCTCATTTTATTACCTGGTTATTTAGTAAATTCGATTTTTACACCTTCCTCATTAAAAATAACGCCCCCCTCAGATAAATCTCGATAAGTGCATTTAGAAAAGGACAGGCGCCAAAAAACAACCATTACAAGAGAAGCTGGAAACATCTGTGCGTCTCTCTTCTTGTATATAAAAGGAGGTAAAGCCACAGATTCTGATTCTCCACAGAACGACCCAGTCTGCACGATGACATGGAAGTAGGACAGTCTCTGTTTGCCCCACCCACTTCCGCCTGCAGCATCTTGCGTCGCCTTTAGCAGAGGACAGCGAGGAAACGCTGCCGCTCAGGGAGAGTCCCTCCAGCAGGGAATGATGAGAAAGTGAACACACACACACACACACACACACGTGCTGTTTGACTTCAGCCTCTGACTCTTTATGGCTCAGAGTTCCCCGTGAGGAGCCTCCAAAACAAAAATCCCCAAATCCCCCCGACACGGTCCGGCGAGCCAACACGAGGCTCCGCCTTTAGGTGAGCGTTCAGCAGTCCTCTGAGTGTAATTTTCAGGCACTATGGACACAC